AATTTTGCAATAATTAAGTTTTTCGTAAGTTATGCAAAAATGAGCGTCTGACAAAATGGGCTCCAAAACTGTCACAGTAGGCAGTAATGCTACGTATATTCTTTCTATTCTTTTTCTTTTACAGGAATTATCTGTATAAAGTACCTATAAGTGAATGTGTATAAGATTTTTCAGAATCATTTTACTTCGTTATAAAACATTTTTATTGAATTATATGCATATTTACTTTATGCTGTTCTGCAAGATGCAAATATGTAATGCAATAGTTTTTTTCTAGAGTTGTTCCCGAGGGGGTAACCACTTAATGTAATCATGGAACAGAATCCTCGAAATCATTATAAAATTTATATAAAATCTCTTTGTATAATCCGATAATTACATATACAACCACGAGAAATCATTGTATAATATTAAATAAAATCGTATATTTTACCAAATTACTTCATAGTAGTGAAAAAAATTATTTGTAATCAGATGAAATCATGTAATCTGTGGGACAATATTTCAGCTAGTGGTTACCCCCTCGGTTGTTCCATATATGCACGATTGCCTTCAGCTCCAATAGACTTATTTGACACTATAAAGCAACATTATAAAGATTAAGTTAGCTCATGGTCTGTTTTATGGACAGGTGTGTCGGTTTACGCTGCACCCCAATTTTAAATTAAAAATCGTATTATGAAAAGACTAAGAGAAAAAAATAATATAAATAAAATTTATCTCGGAAACTACAAGTATTTAAAATGACGTAATATTATCAATAATATAGTCACTATTATTTAAACCTCAGAATTTGCAAAAGAAAATCGAAGGAATTTTATTTTCGCATTTGTAGAATTGGTTTTTAGCTGATTTGATATAGAAACAAGTCACAAATCTACGAATTATGAGTTTGTACTTCTTTAATTAGCTAAATAGATCATGATTTTATTAATATTAATAAAGTGCAATAGTTAGTTTCCGAAAAATAAGGGGGTGTCATTTGAGGAGACCTATGTCAGTATCGGCGACTTTCCTCTACTATCATAATTAATTATAACACAAATACTTCAAATTTTAATTTCTTTCATTTTGAAAAAGTGAGATACTATAATGCATATGTTATCAATTCTAATAAATAATTCGATTATTAGGGAAATCCTAGCAATGGATTACTTATACTTGTGATTAATGTCTTCTAAATAGCTAATATTTTTTTTTAATTGTGATAACTTTTCTGATCTACCAGACCTTGTCTTTCATAGAATATTGGAATTAATTGGTCATTATTTATCCACGTCGCTGGAAATTCGCAGAAACGGATTACTACTTGCGATTCCTTTCAGTTCAGAGCTAACGTGTTTTTCGTGATTAAAATAACTATAAATTTTCTGATCTACCAGATTTTGTAGAAAGCCGGAAATAATTGGTCATTATTTACCCGTATCACTGGAAAACAGCATGGGTGGCGCATGATTGGCATTGGCGTAATGCCGCGGCCTTGAATACCTCGCCCTGCTGAATAATTTGAGTACGAAGCATATCATCCCCGTAAAGATGGCTATCCCCGATGCTATGCAGAGTAGGGTAGGAATGTCCGTAGTTATCAGCACCAGATCTATCGAGTCAGATTAAGACGAATTAAAGAAGGACATGACACGATGTGGATCGCAAGAGATATATCAAAGTATACCATATTACTTCACTCCAACCGCGACATTTATTTCAATGTTTGCAATAATTGGCCGAATATATTAAATGTTAGATTAATAAATGTTAAATTTATTTATAACCTAACTGAAGTAGGTAATAAAAATCAATATTAAGCCGACGAAAATTTTAATTACAAAGATCGGATTAAAAAGTATAGAATAGGTGTGATCAAGAGAAATGTCAAAGATAAATAGTATACCCTCCGCGCAGAAAACCTTCTTGTTAGGCCTAGACAGAGCAACCTTGTGATATCCCTCCTCACAATCGCATACTGCATTGTGTTGAACCTGTATGCACGTTGAATGTTGATCCGCAAAAGTGCATGTCGCACGATAGAAGCACTGCTCTCCGAGCTTTTTGGCTGAAAGTAAGAATCGATAACTCGAACTTACTTATTGAGGAACGTATCTTTTATTCAATAGGAATTTAATCAAAGTTTCATTTATTTAAATGTATGATATGACTTTGAATCTTTTCTCAAATTGTTAACAAAACGCTGTTTAATTCGGAGTTTTATGTCTTTATATTGTAGCTTGAAACGTTTTCCATGATTTTGTCTATCAATTTATAATTTTTTAAATCTCTATAATATCTAGACCGAAACTTTTACCGAAACTGAAAACAAATACTCATTACATGTCAGTTTGACACTGAAACCATATAGCTCTTCTTTATAAATATTAATTTTAATATGTATAATTATTGTTTTTTTCAATAATTAAATTATGATGTTTATAAAGAAGAAGTACTTATATTCTTTGGCCAAAATAGACACACAACCGAAATTTCGGTTTTCGATTTCAGCAGAAATTTAATTATTGTTTTAATAAATTTTTTTTTATGATATTGATGAAGAAAAAGTATATATTGTAATATATGGGCATATCTATACATATAGCTTTTATAGAATTCCTATTTTTTAATTTTGGTTTCGGTTTCAGTTGAAATTGACATGTACTCGAGTGTTTCGGTTCAGTATCGGCAAAAGTTTTGGTCGGACTCTAATAATATATCAGATAAACGTTTAACTCACTTATCATAGTTTAAAAAATTCATTTACGATTCTCGCGGTTTGCGTTGTGTAAAATAAACGAGTGCACAAAAGTCTTTTCATGCCGCCGGACTTCATTCAGGCCATCAGGAGCGCGCGAACATTTATTTTCACCGACCGTTACCATGGAAGTTATGATATCGGAACGACCTACTTGTTAGGCGTGAGGGTAACTAGTTGCTAGCTTTTACATACGTTTGGCACATCCCTTGGTAGGCCCGAGACGAACGGGGTAGAACTTTTCGCACTCGCAGAGGCCAGTGATTGAATCACAGAACACGTGCTGTAGCTCGGAATTGCATGAGGATACGACATCACAAGGCGAGCCCAAGTACCGTCCTTTTTCTACAAAAAGAGTCACATGAATAGTTAATTTTTCAAATAATTAACTTTGTATATTAAATGGTTTTTCGATACATAAAGAACCCTTGATACACGGTAAAATAAATAATTATAAAACTGAGAATTTACATTTGTGTTATAAGTTTTTCTTGATTGAATATATATACACTTTAAAATTATTACGGGCTATTTTTTTTACAATACTGTTTTATATATTTTTAGAGCATTACGGCATAAAATTTTTTTCGTAGAAAAATAATTTACCTTTCGTAAGAAAAGAATTTACGTTTATATGTGTTTATAACAAATTTGCTTTCATTAATTTAGAAATATTTTAATATTTCCCTGTTAACATCGACTGTAATTAGTCAAAGCAAAAAGATTAATACAATTTGAGTATTTTTCTGTTACGTAGCATTTCAATAATTTTGTTGCAATAATATGATTAGAATGTCAGTTTCGAAACAACGCAAATGATTCTAAGTTGTGCGATTTATTAATTCAATTGTAGATTTGAGATATATCTAATTAACAGCGCGCCAACTTATTTCTTATTGTTGAGTTCACTGCTAGACTATTGTAATAATATTCTTTATTAATTTCGCTGTAGCAGACTAGGCTGCAATTGCTAACTCCCTTTGACACGCTTTTAAATTGTAATGTGCGTAAATTTCCTCGTAAAATCAAATATTCTTTAAAACGTGAACTGATATATTCTTTATATATATATTTAAATAAGACAAATTTTCTCATAACTTATAATTGTTATAATTTATTATATCAAAAACGTAAGTTGCTTATAAATCTTCTCGGTTGTTAGTATAGTTAATATTTATAAGAATAAGATAATTCGCAAACAATTGTAATGTACTTACTAACGAAGTTAACTGCAAAGGTTTCGAGTCTCTGGATCACTATATTATAGTTTGCACTTAACTTCCACACTAAAGAGAATTTAAATCTAGAGTCAAAACGTTTGCAGTTAACTTCGTAATTGGTAAGTTCATTCCAATTGTTTGCTAATTATATCTTATCTCCTTATAAGTGTATTATTAACGTACTAATAACTACGGAGATCATCATATATATATAGATAATTTACTTATATAATATTTGATTTATTCTTAAAACCATAAATCTATATTTTTGAAAAATATAAAAAAACCCATCAAAGCCCACATCGGCTGTTCGGATGCACAGAAAACTCTTTATTTTTGTGTGAATGTAACAAAACGAATAAAATAAACGTTTCGATCCTTTAATTCGGTTCCTTGCCAATATAAAATATAAATCGAAATTACATAAGTAACGCAAATTCTAAGATCGTGATTCCCGACAATTTAGCTTGTTCTTTTTTATCAAAATGTCAAATTAGTTATGTAATGAATAGTCAAATGATTATCAAAAATATTAACTTATACAATAATAATATAAAAACTTACATAAAGTAAAATCGAAGTCATATACATTGCTTCAATAAGTAGAATTACATCGCTTATCAGATTGTCAGATTTGCTATGTAATCATTCAGAAGAAAAACGAAAAACGAAAAAAACTATCTTGGAATTTGCGTTACTTATGTAATTTCAATTTATATTTTATATTGATAAGGACTCGAATTGAAAGGTTGAAACGTTTATTTTATTCGTTTTGTTACATTCACATGAAAATAAAGAGTTTTCTGTGCATCCAAACAGCCGATGTGGGCTCTGATGGGCTTTTTTATTAATAGATCCTTTCATTGATAGATTCTTCCAAGCTTTATTTGATATATTTGTAAATCTATTTTTATTTTAATTATAAATTACCTAACAAATATAAGAAAATTTAAAAATTCTTTTATTACAAATAAATATGTTTCGAATACTGCAAAGTTTTTTCTTGAGTCCTTCAACATTTTTAGTTTGTTGATACTTTATTTTATGGTCTGATAATAATAATAATATATATATATATGTGTGTGTGTGCGTATTTATTTGCAATGTTAAATATATAGATATTTTTATTTGTAAAGGCTTACGATGTTCTTTTGCGCGGGCTATGTTATTCGGATCAACACACATAAATTGCTTATTGTTTAATGACAACGACAGTCGTGCGTGATAAATGTGCTTCGTGTCATTTAGCGGCGCTATGGACGCGTATGCAAATGCAGAGATTTCAATATTACATACTTCATTGTCTTGCGGATAATAGCGTCCGTGCAATACGGTTTGTGTGTCGTTTTGCGATGATCGCGTACTCCTTCAGTTTTGCGATTGAAAATGCATGGCCTCGACTGGATTTCTTTAGCAGGTTGTATTTAAATTCAGACTGATTAAAGTTCATTGCACGCGTAAGCGTTACTACTACGTCGCGTGTGCTTTATCAAGCTCTTTCATCAAGCGAAAATTTAGATTCGCGCGATTTACGAAGAGTTTAACGGAAAGTTTTAATAACGTCTGATGGATTAGCACGTGCATCTATATATACTAAGTATAATTAAGAAATTATGCGTTTCAGTCATTAAAATTATCTTGGATTACATTAATTAAATAGGAACCGTAGAAAGTTCCAAAAAGCACGTTAAATTAAGTGAAAAGATATTTTAATGAGCATACTTATACCGTGCTAATTGCTAATTCATTATTCGCATGTAATAATTTATTTCTCGAGCAGCTTACATCTTTTAATTTGGAAATTAACTCTTTACTAACAACATGAAATTTTAACTTTTCCGTGAGTCTTACCGAGAAATAGAGATTTTTTTATTGTTCTGGATTATATATATAAAAATCTGAAAAAATTTTGGTATATTTGTCAAAGCTTTAACATGAGTTTCTATTATTATAGAAGTTGAAATGTATTTTGTTCATTTTTACAAATTTAAATTTATCTACCAAAATTTACAATCAAAATATCTATGGTGTCTTTAAAAATTCCATGTTGGAGGAGATTTAAATAAATTTGAAAAGGCAGTAAAATTGATGCTCTTGTCTAATTTTGTCATTTATCAACTTTTGTATTATAACTAACCATTGCGATTAAGTTTTGCCCTTTCTGTTAATCCATTCCACTAGATTGCATCTTTCTAATAAAAAAAAATGCATCATGAATGAAAGAGCAAAAAATGTACGCCAAGAAATGCACTATCCTTCCCCGCACTCTACTTGTAAGAAAAACGTAGGCACAACGTGCAGTTCAACTGACACACGCGGGCTTAGGAAATGCGCGGAGCTTGCAGCATCCATTAAAATCAATACCGGTGGCGTTCTTGGCGCGAAAATCAAGAGAAACGTGTTTCCTTTTTGGTTAAATCGACGCGTGCGCTAAGACAAATCGCTCGAGGCACTTTTCATCGCTTTTAGAACGTAAGAATAACAGGTTAGGTGTTTTAATATAAAATCGAAAAGAGATAAGAGTGTGTGTTGTGTGTATAAGAAGAGCAAAATGAGATAAAAATTGAAATCTTTATTGAAGCAAAAGAATATTCACGATACGATATTTAACAAAAATTTAAATGTGGTTTGAATAAAGTATTAATTGAAACATTAATTAGTATATATGATTTTTAGAAGTAGAATGAAAAAATTTAATAATTATTACAGTTTTCTTTCAATTTCGAACAAAATCTAAAAAATTATTTTTATAAAAAAACCATATTTTATACGGTTCACTGAGAAAATAGCATATCATATTTTTAATTTTAAATCAAATTCAGTGGGTTTCATAATTTTATCTTAAAAATTGCGTTTATATATTCGATGAATTAATTTAATCACTTTTGAAAATGTATTAGAAAATGATGGTAGATATGCTTTAATGGATGAACATTCCTGAGGAAGTGTTTGTATATTGTGCAAGCAGGGAGAACTTTGAAATACATCATCTTCGTCGATCGTTATTGTCTTACGTGAAAATAGAGCATTGTTGTGTCTAGGACAAGCATGTTTCGATTGTAAATTATGTTAAATGAATTATGTTAATTATTGAATAAACTCAAGCATAATAATAATAATTTTATCTATTACTCTGCTCGTTTATTTTCATAGCATATCTTCCTTGTACATTATTTAATTTCCGTCTAGTTGTTATCTCATTTTCTCAAACAATTTCTTGACTTGTAAAGTCTTTCGCAACAATTTGATTAGCATAATTATCTTTTTAGAAACTTGGCATTATTTTGTTATATTTCCTCAATTTCTATATTTATATACATATATATTTTTATATTTGTATCTATTACATTTCTTGATATTTAATTTTTTACCAATGCACAGAAATTTTTTTTTACTCGTTAAAAACATTATATTTTAGCAAGTTTAAACGATGTTTGACGTTTAAATATGATTTCGTTCTCACCAACATCACCTAGGTAACGAACTAGCCATCACAATGCTATCATCGAGCTATTTTATTAATCTTGGCTTCTTTTCTCAAAACGTTCAATTCTGTAATCATCGATATCAGCGTCTTTTTCCGTCTTACAAATTGTAATACTTATACATCATTCATCGGTTTAGATGGAAATTCTGATCGACGTTTCGATAGAGACATATACTCGAAAGAATTTCTACCATGGTGTACCAAGGCATTTATAAAAAATTCGCCGTTATCGAATTTTAATTTAAATCCAACCATTAAAGCCGGAAATTTTCGTCAAACAGTTATTCTCCTGCTATCGATTGCTGTGATTATCCAGTTAATATATGCGAACCGTGACCTAACTTACCCGTAAAATTTCCGAACCAGTCCTCGTCGAGATCGCCATTGCCGGTGGCTATCTGCTCGTCCTCGTAGACCTCGGCGTCGTCGTCGAGGTAGCTGGACTCGTACACCGTCGCGTCATCATCACCTACCGATTGTTTTTGAGCCGGGCTTATTATTTGCTGCGGCGTGTCGCTGGTGCAGGGTGCAGGTATCAGGAAGACGACGAGACAGGTCAGCAGGAGCCAGCAGCAGCAGCAGCAGCAGGAGGTCAGTCTCAGGGCGGAGGGAAGCGCGCTCATCGCCCCCGCGGCGCGAATCAACCCCCGAAACCGACCACCGACGGCGCATCGACATCCTTCCCCGTCGCCTGCCTTCTCCTCCCTCCCTCCCGCCCTCCCGACCTCCCCGGCGCACCTTCGCGCCGTCGATGCCCCAGGGAGAAGCGCCTTACGTCGCGTTCGTCGTACGTTCGTCTACGTGCGTCCGTACCTTCCTACCTGGCGGTGTAATAAAGGTTATTACCACTGCGAGTCCGCTGCGCTCGCACGAGCGTACGCTCGCGTACCGCTCGACGGCGAAACTTGATAACTACACTGCACAACGAGCACAGCGAGAAGACACCGATCGTTTCGGGCACCGCTCGAAACCGCTCCGCCTCGTTCACTGAACGGTCCTCGCGGGGCAAGAGCGACACGGCTGCAGCTGCGCGCGGCCGCTACTCCGACGCGACGAGCGTCGCGGCGCCCCGCTTCGTCCTCGCTTCGCCGTCGCGTCGGTCCACATCGCGTCGATCGAGAGCACGGGGTTAGTCGCCGTGGGCCTCTCTCTCTGGAGAGAGTGCCGGGATGGCGGATGCATGTCCATTAATTTATCGGTCAACCCGATGCCATTAGTTTCCATCTTTCTTTTCCTCGCTAAGATTGCACCTCGTATTTTTTGGAAATTGACGCGCATTCCTTCATAAATTCATAATTTCATCCGGCGCCACGAGTGAGCGTGTCGGTTTGCCGAGTGTTAAATTATAGCGATTCACGCCGTAATCGATTCGCATTGGGGGGAGGGGGGGGGGGGGGGGTAAAGAACCAGCACGCCTTCAGCCTTTCGTTGGAGTTAAGTCTTATTGCAGAATAAAGTTTCGCTGCCTTATCATCGACGGACATCTGCTGACTGCATGGCAAGGCTACAACTGGGTCAGTAATTGCAGTCTAAAGGAGGTGATCGATATATTGTGGCCACACATGCCGAAAATGTCTGGAGAATGTTCATTATTGTCGAGCGGTGTTAAACAGTTTCAATTACGTCATGTCTTGATATTACATTGCCTGCTCACACGAAATTATTCATTGACCATTGACAATATTAGCGATTTACTTCAATGGAGTTTATCTCAATGAATTATAACAGCGTTCGCATTAGATGAATTCTCTATATTTTGAAAAATAGTTTTTCGAATTTATATTTTTATATTTGTATTATTATCATCAAAACATCTTGATATACATGTTCGAAGAAGTAATAACTTGATTAGATTTAGTATGAATTTAGTATGAATTTGTGTTATGAGATGTGTGATAAACACTAAAATATGTTACATCAGAATATGAACACTAAAATATCTAATTTATAGTTACTATTACAATTGTACTATTTATCATCATTATTATATAATTATTACAGTTCAATCTTAACTATCTCATTCAAAGTTAGATCTTATTACAACAAAATCTCGGTGCTGAAAGATTCTCGCATAAAAACGTGTACCGATGGACCTGTTGGAACAAACATTTCAAAATAGTTATTCGTATTCTAATAAAATATATTTAATACAATAACAACTATGGTTTGTTTGAACATTTATAATAAATTAGGAAAGCGTCTTAAAAGCGGAATTTATGATATCGCGGAAGTTGTTTATCATTCACATAAAGTGACATTTGTTATGTTGATTTATACGTATAGCTAAAAGTAGGCTGCAATTATATTTTTGTTAAAACGTGAAATTATGATAAATTTCGGAAAATACCTGTAGCGAATTTCTCCTTTCGGCGTTTGCGATATATAAAATATGCTGCTGCTGTTAAACCTGTAGCTACTAATATAGTGACTGTCATAAAAGACCAAACTATTTTGGCACCGTTAATGGAGACATTATAATGAGATGTCGTGTAACAAGGTAAATCTGCAAAATGGAAGGTAAAAATGAAATTAACGATTCAAATGGTTTTTTCGAGGTTTTTTTAATAATAGATAGAATTATATTATATAAAAAAATCATATTTTTTTAACATTTCATATTATTTTTATCAGTTCATATTTTTCTGCGCACGCACAAGCTTCTGTTCGAACTTTTCTAAGCTAATTCTATATTTTTAAGTTTTTATAAAATGAACTAGAAGTGTTTAATTGATTTTTTTTTATGGAAAAACGGAACTCTGATATTTTGCGAATAATATGTGTCTACTAATTTCTTAGAAGAGTTAATTATTTATAAAAATTTGTGCAACACAACTTCATTCTTTGTTATATTAACGTTAATATTTATATAATTTACATAATTGACAAAAGTTATTTTAAAAGAAATTAAAAATAATGTTTTCTTGAACTCTATTAAAATTTTGTCACACTACTGAAATGGTTACGTAAAAATAACAAAATTTAAAAGGACATTAGATAAAACTTTCCATAGATAATTAATAAAATAATGTTTGTCATTATGAACTGAAAATGTAATTGTTTTTCTAAGTTGTAAATACCTTTATTAAATAAGCAGCTGGTAAATGACGTATTGCCTTCATGTTGCCTAAAGCACAATGTTTCGTTCTCAATAGACTTGTCGCATTCACAATATGGCATGTCCTCGAAGAATGGTATATCGATTGCACTATCATTATGAATCGTGGTACTGCAATGATATTTGCAAATTACAAAAGTCGTCTAGAAAAGTATTGAATAGCTCTTTGCGAGAAATGGGAAATAGGCAAATAAATAGTATTCACCTGTTGAGATCTTCGTTATTGTCAAGCATTACCATCATGCACATGGTCGGTTGATCACAGTCCTGCCCCGTCCATCCGCGGTGACATGTGCATTTGTAGGTGATGTCAATATTATCAATGCGGTCGACGACACAGTTGCCGTGTTCGCTACAGTTGCGAGTACATTCAGGGATGCATTCCGGTCCTAAGTGATGGTTCAAGTTCGATATGAAATCGTCATGACAAATGCACTCATTTGGGCCTATACAATCGCCGTTCTTGCAGCCCCTTTCGCAAATCGGCTCGCAGAAGCTCTCGTTTCGCGACGCGAAGCCGTCGTGGCACTCGCAGCGATTTGGCGCCGTACATGTGCCGTTGGAGCACGTTGGGGCGCAGAAGGGTACGCAATCACCATTCGTATCCCTCACGTAACCGTCGTTGCAAATGCAAATACCGGACTCGTGGCATGTTCCCTTAACCCCGCACGAGGACTCGTTGCAGCGAGGTCCGGGGAGACGGTCACAAATGCGCGGTGCATGAAAAATGTCAGGTAAAGGAGGATGATTGTCGATCCACCGTGGATAAAAATTCCTGTCGCAGGTGCATACGTTTGGTGCGGTGCATTTACCATTGATGCATTCGAAGTCGCAAGTTGGTGCACAGTAAAATATGAACTAGTTTAGATCAAATGAGTTTTTTTAAGTTAGTTGTGATTAACGGGTTGTTTAAAAATACTGTAATAGACTCTTCTAAATCTAAGAACTGCTTTGAATCGATAGTATGATGAAACACAATACAATTTTAATGTATGTACAATATTCACATCGTATTGGATATTACTCATATTACTGTTAGTAACTCTACTCAACGATGAAAAAATCGAATATACACTTCCATTTCAATTACGATAACAAAGCGAACGAAAATTCTAACTGAACTTCTAAAAAAATTTATTTTAAAAAGGAATTTTCAAACTCTTTTTTCTTTCTTTCGAAAGATCTTAAGCGAAGCTAATAAAAATTTTTTTTCAACTTCGTGCATGATCTCAAAATTTGAGTTAGAAACGTATTAATCCTATCGAGTACTTTTTTTAATTATTATAATTTAATCAACTTGATAAATATGTACATTCATCGCGAATAGCTACAATTTAATTAAAATAATCTTTTACTGATATTAAAAAAATATTTATAAAGAATTATGATCTTATTGAGAAAAAGAACGCTTTCTCGTGAAGATAAAAATTTTCATTGATGGTTGCATCTTAAACATTGTGTCAAGAATTATGGCGATAATGAATAAAATAATGCTTATAACTTATTGTACAGTTATACTTGCCTTCTTGAACAACAGTCTTCTTGGAGAAAATTCTATCTCACTTCTAAAAAAAGGGTTAAAACTCCCATAATTTGAATGATCGAAACTAAATCCGATATCCTTTTTGTGATATCCTTTGGAACACTTGCATTCATTTGGCGCTACGCATTCCTTGTTTAATCCGCAAGGTGTCGAGCAGTACGGCTTGCATATTCTATTCGTTTCATCAAAAATGTATCCAAAATTGCAAGTGCATGATCCGGGTTCAGTGCATATGCCGGTTCTGCATTTCGGGTCACAGATCGGCTTGCACATGAACTGAAATGAGTCAAAACGGACTCTTCTGTAACCGGAATTGCATGTACACACGTTCGGTTCGGAGCAGTATCCGTTCTCACATTCCATGTTACAAAAGGGTTGACAGGTGGATCCGTCCAAGCTCAACCTGTAGCCCTCGTTGCAAGTACAAATCTTGGATGGGCTACAAGTGCCGTTGATGCAGCCATTTTTGCACTCTGGCATACATTTACTATCGTTTGACATGCGGTACCCTTTGTTGCAGATGCACACGTTCGGCTCGGAGCAATATCCGTGATTTTGTTCACATTCTGCATTGCAGACGGGCCGGCAGGTAAATCCGTCCGAGTCCAACCCGTAGCCCTCGTTGCAATTGCAAACCTCGGGATCAATGCAGGTGCCGTTAATGCAGCCATTCGTGCATTCTGGCATACATTTACTGTCGTTTGACACGCGGTACCCTTCGTTGCAGGTGCACACGTCTGGCTCCTTGCAGGTACCTTTCTTGCAAGATTGCGGGCAACGCGGTACACACCGGTCCGTACCGGATACAATATTGTAGCCTTCGCAGCCACATGTCTGTGTGGTGTGGAACTATAAATATAATTATCGACAATAACGAGAGAATAAAGGGCACATAAGAGTCAAATATAATAAAGTATACTAAAACATGAAAAATCAAAAGAAAATATGAATAATATAATATTCTATAATTGATTAAAATATGACATGTTTATTGCAATACCAAGATTATTTTATTATTCGTCAGTCAGTGTACGTCTGTCTTGATGTTAACATATATGTTTACCAAGTCTCATTTTTGATATATCTTTTATACACTATTTATTATCTTCATAGATCTTTAATTTTATATTGTGACTAATTATTTTACTATGGACTAACGCACTGACGCTTAGTAATTCAAAAATTGACGAACATTTTTTCGACATGTGAAATTTTATTTTATGGCCAGCTAGGTGAGTTGTTTGACCAGAGTGACGATTTTACTCAATTTTTTATTATTCTCTCTCTCTCTCGTAATTCATTTCTAACTTGGCTTATTATCAGAACACCGGAAAATTTCAAACAACCGGTCATCCAGCCGTTTGCGAGTGATTTCCGTTTCTCGCTGGCCATCATTACTTTATGTATAATTTTTTCCTATCTTTTCAACTGCTTTCATTTAATGTAACATCTCCTGTATGTATATCTGAAGAAGGCTCAATCGTGAGATCGAAACATGTTATATTTTAATCAATTATAGAATATTATATTATTCATATTTTCTTTTGATTTTTTATGTTTTAATATATTTTACTATATTTGACTCTTATGTGCTCTTTATTCTCTTGTTATTGTTTTTAAATTAAGAGACCTTCGTTCTTGTAATAACTTATATAATTATCGAATTAGCGGATTGTAATGAGCAGATGATAAATTGATAATTTGTTTGAAATATAAGGTAAGACAAAAAAATGGTTAATTTACAAAATTCTTTTTTGTTTCTAATAAATTTCTTTTATGATTATCAATCAGATTACCTCTATCCTAAAATTATTTCGAATCTTTTCAGACATATTTTGTTCTGACGATCTATATATTTCCTTATAAGGAATGTAAACTGGTATTTTCTGACTGTAATAAAATTAGCAAAAATTAATATACATATACACTGAAAAAAATTTACTAAATCTTTTAATACATATTTCTCTAGTATCTACTATGTAAACATTTACTTACAATAAATAAATATTTACTAAAAAAAATGATAGTTAAATCAAATTAATGGTTTTTATATTAAATAAATATATGTTTACATTTAGTAAATATTTACTTAGAACTATTTAAACAAATATTTAAAATTTAGTATTTTTTTTAGTGTAAACATATCGAAACGAGTAATTTGTAAAATACTTTGAAAAAACAAATTATTTTAGAAACGGATACATGATATGTAAAAAGAATATAATTTTCGAGGAAGTATAACAACAAATATTGAAATACCTGATAATTACCTCATAATTATGTTACTGCATCTTGAATTATTAAATGTTGTTACACTTCTATTTTGTAATTCACTCTTCGGGGTTTGATTCCATAACGAAATATTAGTAAACGAGATTGCACTCACATGCCATACGTCTACTTCTAAAAATATCTTAATGGCCAAAATAACGATTGGACCGTTAAATAACCCCATGACTTGTAGCTCTTATTAGGTCGATGTTCGCTCCGTGATGTTTAGTCGACTATTGAAATGCTTCCTTCCCATACATCATCTCTCTTATCTTAATGTACTATGCATATACATCAACACAACCCATGTTATTCTTTCAAAGCAGGATGTGCTGTACTATCAGAAAGTTACACGAAGCTTGCATATGTATTCGTAGTGTAAAATAATCTATTTTAAAGTATTAATACCGCTCGTGTTGACAAAAATTCACTCGAAGCAGGATTAGAAGCGTTTATTTTAGAGTTTAGAAAATACTATTTTTTTTTTATTAGAAAATAGGCGCAATTGTGTGGTAGATATATAGGTATGTATATCCGGGGAGACTGGGGCACTATGAGTCACAAAAATTCAAACTCTTAAAAGTGCATCTAAATATAAAAATTGTTGTATCATTTTTTTTTATAATTAAAGTATAATGCATATATTAAAATTTAGTAAGTATATTTAGTAAATATTTATTAGTTAAAAAAAATATTTTTTTAAGAAATTACCCTGTTGGTGCTCCGTACCCGGGGTACCATGAGTCACACACAAAATAGTATTATAGAATTATGCAAGAAATAACGGTGATGAAAGTTAGAAAGTATTTTCAATTAACACACATATTCTTAGCATATAGTCTCACTAATAATATAATAAAATATAATTACAACTAATAATTATTAAATAATAAAATAAAAAGTTATAAGAAAATAAATGCGAAATAACCATTAATATAAAATAAAAAATGTATTATGATAAAATAAAATTAATTACTTAGAAATATAAAATGCCTTTTTAGTATATATATTTTTTGTATTATCCCATTTCATCATGAATATTTAATGTATGATCCATGGTACCCCAATTATACATTTAATTATACACTTAATAGAAAACTATAAAAAATAAATGTTAGATTATTACTTGTAACGTAGTAAAATGAGAAAAAATGCGCAATTTGTACCTTATCTTCATACATGTATCTTCTACTACAAAAACAATATTAAAATATTGTTATGTGCTCTCTAAATCTGAATCAGTGAATAATCACTGATATGATTAGTGCCAAGTATGCCACTGGTAATCAGTGAATGAAATGTAATCCCTAATCTAGCTGATCTTATTATGTGATCTAACTAACCTTGTTTTTGTGCATAAATTCAATGAATATAGTATTGGAAAATTGAAATTAGCATGCAAATGTCAATATTTTAGTCATGTAATGCTCAAACATTTTTCCTTTTTTTAGTTAAATTTCACTGATTATCAGTGCCAAGTATGCCACTGTGTAATTAGTGACTATCCACTGATTCAAATTTAGACAATGGTTAAAAAGTTACTCTTGCACCACGAAAATCATTAATGCTTTTTGATACAATGGAATTTAATCACTGTCACCTAGATAAAAGGTATGGAAAGTAACAGTCGTATTGTACTAGTAGTATTAATTTAGACATTCTATATTATGTTAAACAGCCGATGACCCATGATATCCCTTGACCCATGGTGCCCCGGTTTCCTATATATATATATATATATATATATATA